ATAATTCCGAGAAAAATCCAACATACATTTGTCACATAACTGAACCAGTGGAGTGTTTTAGGAGCAAGCAAATTTTTAAGACATTCCATGTTGTATGCTTCTCGATTTCTCGCTTATGAGCTACAAATGCTTGCATTTAGCTTTTGAATTCTATTAGAAATAATGGAAGGAGAAAAATGATTTCGATTTAGTCAACCCATTAGGGGCGGAGCGCAAGTGAACCTACATCATCATATTCCATTCGGTGATTGACTGGCCGCTGACGTCATGCAACAGTGTTACTGGTAGTCTTTACACTACAGCCTAAATAAGCTAAGAAATATTTCAAGACAAGTAAATTTTAAATTCTTCAAGTAAATAGAAGCTTCACACACAACCTGTCTTTTTTGCTTCAGGTTTACTTAAGCCTATTTTCCCACGAAACATAATTAGCATTGATTGACATGCTTCGCCTTTCTCAAAGCTTAAGAGACCCCAAGTTCGCTAAACTCGGTTCCAAGTCACTTGAAACTTTCTTGAATCGTTTCAACTCTCCGACTTTAATGAGATGCAAAGTAGATGTCTAGAGTTACTTGAGATTTTACTTAAGGTGATGTTACAGGGGGACGATACACAATGACGATTTTTAGCGCAACACAGGGTTGCAATGTTGTAACAATGGTAGTCTTTACACTAGAGCCTAAATAAGCTTAGAAATATTTCAAGACAAGTAAATTTTAAATTCTTCCAGTAAAAGAAAGCTTCACACACAACCTATCTTTTTTACTTCAGGTTTACTTAAGCCTATTTTCCCACGCAACATAATTAAGATTGATTGACATGCTTCGCCCTTCTCAAAGCTTAGAAACCGCAATTCGCTAAGTCGGTTTTAAGGATGGTTTTCAAACTTGAAACTTTCTTGAATCGTTTCAACTTTCCGACTTTAATGAGATGCAAAGTAAAGTTACTTGAGATTTCACTTAGTCCTTCACACCTATTTTTAGGTTAAGTAAAACTTAGCAGATCTTAAGTCTTACTCAACAGCCTTGTGTAAAGACAACAATTAATGTTGTAACAATTCCAAACAACATCGCAACAATGTTGCAACGCTGTGTTGCGCTAAAAATCGTCCTTGCGAATCGTCTCGTGTAACATGACCTTTAGGCCTTCACACACGCTAGCAGCTTCAACATGTACCTGAGAAATAGCAAAGAATAAATATGAATTATAGGGATATATAAAATCGAACCAAACGTCCGGAAGTACTCCAGCGTCGCGAGCAATGAATTTGAATTATGTTTATTACCTTGCGCGCATCTAACTCGCTTCCGATTGGTTTAAAAACAATCAGCTGCTGTCAAAACTCACACATGCGCAGTATCGTGACAGTGCCTTTAAGTCTTATTTAACTTGGTTGTAAAGACAACCACTGACAAAAATATTTGGCTGCTAAAATAAGCACATTACGATCACCAAAGGTTGTTAATAGTAGGTTAAAAGTTCAAACAATTTTCCGTCTTAGATGCCACTATTTCACAATACAGGATTTCACATCTTGTAAGCACGTTCGCATGTACTTTCCCGATGTACAAGTTAAAAGCCGGCAGTTGCGTGCATAAATTGTTGCGGACGAGCAAAAACGAGCTCAGTTTCGCTCAGTTATTAGCGGCACATGTCATGTTTGCAAAAAAAAGATGAAAAGTTTCATTTCTAGCAAGTTTCAATATTAAGTTTGAACGGAATGTGGTCAACAAGGACCTCAAGATTAGATTAAACTTTGTACTTGCCACGTACGCACGTGAGCGGACTCGAAGGAGGAGCACGTGTAAAGTTAATTTGGGAATCGGAAAGTTGAGATCAGTATTGACCCAAGTCCAGAAGTCGAAAGACGCGCAATTTTTTCTAAATCCCAAATCCACTCGTACTTTTGTGAAAATCTGAATCAGTAAGGCATTTTAATACTAATTTCTTTTCTTGCAATACTGTTTAACACATTGGCACTATATTAAACTGTCATAAATTGAGCAGGTATGCCAGGAATGCCCCCAGTAGCAATAATAGTTTAGTTTCCCCAACAAGGTCACAAGTCACCGAGTTTAACGCAACAAGTTTACAGTAATTCACTCCCGCATCACACTCTCATGGTTTAAAGACCCAAGTCATGGTCGATTGCGCTCACACGTACGAGAAACTTGTCAATCAAAATCTCAACTACGTATACACTCCGGCCCAGTCTCCGCGACAGGTATGAGGTTCGCTTATACGAGCTAATGTAGGCTATTTCAGGCATTCAGATAGTGGAACACGAAAGAAAAAAAGAGCGAGCGAAAGAAAAATCAGAGGTAAGGTCAGTATTAGGGTTTTTTTGCTTCTGTTTTCTTCAAACAGGTCAAAAAATTGCATTTCAATATGGCGGTCTTTTTTTTGGTTTTGGTTTAGAGTCTTTGTAAATGAATTTCATAACTATTTTGTACAGAATGTTCATTATATTACGTTGCAGCTCTAAAATTCTTTACGAAATGTTAAATGACAACTGACTTGTATCATTTACATTTTTTTCTCGTATTTATCTACCTATATCTCAGTTAGAAACGTTAATTTTCTGGACAAAATGTTTCCTGGCGACCCCTTACTTCAAGGCTTTTTCTCTCTCTCCAAGAGGTTTACCAATCCCTCTCTTCCCCACAGAGGATCAGCGGAACCTCACCCACACCTCTCTCTCCCTAGGGACAAAGTTGTCCTTGGCGAGGAACCTTCCGCGAGGATGTTCTTTAGGGCCTGCTAAGGACGCCCCCGGACCGTGTTATATTGCCCCCTTTTGTAAAAAAAAAAAGGGGCATGAGCGTGCCCTTTTATGGGCTAGCTGATATCGATCATGCCATTTCAGAAACAAGGTATAACACATATATCTGTATTCTGTTCTATTCAAAGTAGACAGACTGCAAATTATAGTAGTTGCTAAAATATATATCTACGTGTCGCAACTGTTCATCAGTAGGATGCCTAAAATGCGTGTAATTCCACAATTGGTTTCGGCTCCATTATCTCTTGTTACTTTAAAAATCTTAAGACTAAATTATTTCTCCCCATGCGAGATTACTTGTGGCAAATATTGTCCTGTAACTGAATTACGTTTTACCGATATATTATTTCGATGTTTGAAGTTAGGAAATACTGTTAAACACCTCTCTGTTAAAAATAAAATAATAATAATAATAATAAAAACAGTAAATCTCACGGATGAATTATCATTTACCATTAAACTAGGACAAAAAAGGTCAGGTGAGCTCCGAGGTTTCTCCAAAACTCGACAAAACCCTCGTGAGCTCGGAGTTTTCTCCGATGTGAGGACGACAAAATCTCGTATTGACACAGGGGGCCACAGAATCTGTGTGTGTAGCGGATTGTTAAATTATAGTAAATGTACTGGATTTTATTGCCTCTTTTTGATTGGAAGTCATTAAGCAAATGGTTAAACAGTAACTGATTTAAAGTACCCTGCAAGCAGTGGTTTCTCCGGCCTTGATCGAGAAACCACTGCTCGCAGGGTAGATTTAAAGCAGATTTGGTGAGCGATTATTGTTTAACGAGATCCAATCAAAAAGAGGCAATCAGCGCCACGATTTCTCACTGGTACGTATGAATCTTGCCACGCATTTTGACCGTTCAAAAACTGTGGGATTTTAATTTTCTTCGAGAGCTAGCTCCGGGCCTTTTGGATGGATTTTCGATCGGAAGGTACGAGAAGAAGCGTGAATCTTTCGACCCTTTTGCTGCAAGGTTTAAAAGCGGAGCCATGCGATTTTCGGGGAAAAAATCGCTCCAGTGCTGGAGCCCTTTCAGAACAAGGATTCCTCCCTAGTCCTTGTTATATAAGGAACAGTAAATGGCGAACTCAAAATGCTTCAAAATCGCTCAAAAAACCGCTTTTGAGGCAAAAGGACGACAACATATCACAGCTAAGGTAATTTAACGTTTATTCAACATTGATTTATACTTGGCGATTAATCGCTGGGTGTGTATATACATTTGACCCCTTCATTTAGAAACAAAACGATATACAATGAATTACTGGTTTTACATAGGGTACGAATGCTTTACTACTACTTCTATTGCGCGTACTTAATAAAAAACAAAATTATCATCAATGCTGTGTACTGAGTACTTTCTGAAAATCCCAAAAATTAATTCCCAGGGAGAAAAACCAATCTGTCCATCGCAAAATTAATTATCGCAAAACTCAAAAATGGCCAATCCACAAAAATAAACTCCCGCAAAAATTTCGTGCCACACGGTAGTTGCCTTGTTCCAAGTTTGTGTTAAATACTATTACTTTTGCCTTACAAAAATAAAAGATTCTGTCGTTTTTTGCTAATTTTATGAAAAGAAAAGCAACGATAGCGTGAGCCCACAGCTCTAGCCCCTGATCGTATGAAATTGTTCGCCACACGTTTCGGAAAGGTAGCAAAGATTTCCGATTTCATTTAGACGCCCCCTGCATCACTAGATGACTGGAAAGTTGATGATGTACCTGTAAACGGAACCCTTAAAAATGAAGGTCTAATCCACAATTGGTCATCATGAGAAATTTGCTTATTGTGGGTTTGTATATCGATTGGTTCGCGGAAAATTAAATTAGTAGGAACCGAGAGTCGGCAGTAGAATTTTTATGAGATTCACGTTGTTTCCAGGGAAATGTTTAAGGGTATATTTACGTTTTACTGATTGGCCCATCGCTATGTTTTCACTCATAATTCAACACAGGTAAATTTAATAGCAAGAGACTATATGAAGGGTTAATCTGTCATTGCGATCAGTCCCGTGAAAAGACATAAAAGAATCAACAGGCCAACAGGCTAGCAAGCTCTTCCCTAGACTCTACCTTTCCCGCACTATTTCCTTACGGGTAGGCAGTCGGTAAGATGCCGATGCCGATGTTTTTTTGACTCGAAGCTTTTCTAAGCTGGATTCCAATAAGATCGCGCACTGAAAACAAATATAAGAACTAGCAACAAAGCTACATGAGCATCATAGGAAAGTTAATAATAGGAATCCTGAGAGTTGCGGGCCTCATTGCTGCACCATTCACATTTGGGGCCGGAATCGTAGTGTCCATTGTAGGGGCAGGAATTGGTGGCGCGGGGGGACTGGTCATGTCTTGTTCCAAAGTCGCTGAGATTATCTTGGAAAAGTTAGGACTAAAAGAAGTGCAAGAGACAATTGAGGACGATCGTAAAGCTTGTAGTGAGCTCCAGAAACAGTTAGACCCCTTGGAGAACTTCATCTCTAGCTTAGCAGAGTTCCTTAAACCACTGCATGATGACGCGGTTTTGCTCAGAGAATTAGAAGGAAGTGGATTTGAATTTCTTAGTCAGCGGATATCCTATGAAGAGATCGGTGCGTCCACCGAAGAGAGAGTAGAATTCGGTGCCAGGTTCTTCAGAGCAGCCACTTCCGCAGCCACAATATCTGCATCAGCGGCCGCGACTGCAGGCGCTGTAGCCAGAAGTGCGGCTATTGCGGGGACGCGCGCGGCACATGTTGCTGGTTCTGTAATCAGCGCCGCCCTGTTGCCGCTGGATATCACGTTACTCGTCAAATCATCTTTGGAGCTGCATCGTGGATCCACATCTGCAGCTGTACAAGATATCCGGCGGATTCTTGACGAACTTGAATGCCCAGATAAAGAGGAGATCCAAGGTCTGGTGGAGAGCTTCATTGATGAGAAATTTACCGAGGCGTACAATAAGATGGACGATGAAAAGAAACAGGAGCAGAATCGAGACAGTGATGATAGTAACGAGCTGGATAAACAAATGATGACATAGATAAACGACAAGGAAAAGAAAAAGAAATATTACTTCCAAATGATAGTTAACACAAAAACAAAAAGGTTTTGAAAATGATAGAGACATTGCTGCAGACGACGCTGTTACAAGAAATAATGAATGCATGTCAAATTTTCCCCTTCTAGGATATAACGTTTTGACTCACGCAAAAGAAAAGTCATACATGTTGTAGTAAATGTAGTAACTGTTTCGTGTTAATGCAAAAAGTCAAATAACATTAAAATGTGTATCATAAACGACTGGTTAGGTTTTGTGAACCTACGATCCCATGGGTCCATAAACACTTATACAAATATCCAGAGAGGGCGGAATAGCTTCAGCCTACACTCTGTTTCCTTGTTATCCCAGAGCGGATTAAGGAGACTACTCTTTAACCCTTAAACCCTAACATCACAATTCAAATTCTCATTTGTTATCGCTATACGTTTTCAATAGAAGGAGTGGGGAGAATTTCTTGAAGTATCAATTGATTCATCTTGTGTGATCATGTCCTTAATTCTCATGACCACTCTGTTTTATAAAGCAGTGATATTACAAGGAGAAATTTGACGCTGATCACTCTTATGGCTTAAAGGGTTAAAGAGCTTCTATTGTGTTTATGTCTTCCCCCAAAACTGGAGGACCGTTGCGTGACGACAAAGAGAACTGATGAATACTGAGACTGGGTCAGGAAACCGCGGAAAGAACGGATTATTTTGTCTTAAACATGTTCAGGGTTTAAAGGACTCAGCGGCACCTCCGCACCCAAACTTCCCTCAAGTGCGCCCCCCCCCCCCCCCGCCCCAGGAAAAAAACATGCGTTTTTTTGAACAGTACCCTGGTGCTAGTTTCGCTTCACCGGGAATCTTGGATTTCCGCTTAATTGTTATTTCTTATGTTAGCAGGTGTGTTAGCTGGCCCCCATTAAGTCAATAACAAAAGCGGTGGCTGCAGTTTACAGTTTCTGAAGGTGAGTTGGTGAAATCAGCCTTCTGACTGCCGGTAAGGCCACTGCTTTCAAACTATTGGGGGCAGGATATCTTGTTACTAGCTTGGTATTAAAAAACGCTTTTTTAACCTCAACAAATAGGGAGGCCCTTCCCGTGACCAAACCCGAAGCGCTGAGACACTTCATTTTGGGCATGAAACAACCGCTCCACCTCGAAACCACCTCAAGCGGGTCTGAATCCGTTACGGTTTATATACAAAGCTTTACATCTGAGCCGAAGATAAAGTATCAGTGCGGTAAAAGAGAACGCATACCCTCCGCCCCTCCCCGCGCAATCCCCTTGCTAGACACTTTTCTGCTTTTTCTGTTCCAAAAGCAGTTTGCCCTCCATTTTGCTGGATGCACAGATTGATTTACAAAGAAGGGAGGCCAGGCCGACATCTATAATATTGGTCCAACAGAACTTTAATCATATCAAAAACTAAACTTATATACAAGGATGAAGACTTGCAGGAAAGCTAAACATGATGTATCAGTCACTTTCAGATAGCAATGACTGCAAATAATAATTCTTAGGTGACGCTAACTGTGAATCAGTGGAGCATTATCACAATCATTATACTAATTACATTCCTATAGGAGAATTTCTTCATATGTAGCTGTATGTTTAGTTATCTAGGTTAAATGTAAATGTCCATTAATTTGTTTCAGTCTTCATTATGGGTCATTAATACACATTGTTATTAACGCCAGGCTTCACGATAAGTGGAGATTTTTTAGGAGTTAGTAAACTGTAATCTATTCTAAACCTTTTTAGCTTTTAGTTCTTTTGGTTTGTTCAAATCACACCCTGTTGCTATGTAAAGATATAGCAATGACCAAACAAATTTTCTCTTCTCACAAAAACCCACACTATTATTATGAAACAACAAAAAAAACCAAACAAAACAACATATAAATGAAAACCTAAGAACTTCGAGATTGCTTAGAAGTTACCTGATTGACGAACTCAAAAAACTTAACTTCTTTTTAAAAAATGGAAAATATAATGTCAAAGAATGTAGCTCAAATTATTGCTGTTCAGAAAAATATATTTACACATGCTTAGATAAATACTTTATAGTTTATTTTCCCTGTTTTTGAGAGATTTTTCCCTTGCTGGGTTATTTTGTTAGCTCTAAGGTCTAAGCTTTGTTTCTTTTGCAGTTAGTATGTGTGAGTGCAGTGCTGTCAGTGAAGCGTTTTATACATCCATCAGTTATCTTATGGAGCTTTAAGTTTAGAAAAAGCAATATTGATTCAGCTTGAAGTTGTTTAGTTTGTAGTTAGTGTGGTGTTAATCAGTTATCTGATTAAAAGCGAGGTTTAATCTTTTTAGTTCGCAAAAACCCTGATTGTGTTGGTTGCCAAGTAACAACTTCGCAATCTCAATACATTCTAGCGACTGAAAGTTGTTGAAGCTTAAATCAAAATCCAAAATTCCTTCAACAGGGAAACATTTACCTTTTAGAAAAGTTAGAAAGATACTTTACATTTTATGTTCCTTGACTTTACGAGATTTTTACCTTTATCAGTTATGTTGTTATCCCCAAGGTATAAGCTGTTTAGTGTGCAGTTAATGTGTGTGAGTGCTGTGGATAAATGTTTTACTCCTTCATCAGTTATGTTGTTATACTCGAGGTTTAAACTGTTTAGTGTGCAGTTAGTGTGTGTGAGTGCTGTAGCTAAATGTTCAATTCCTTCATCAGTTACGTTGTTATTAAAGAGGTTTAATCTTTTTAGTTCGCAAAAACCCTGATTGTGTTGGTTGCCAGGTAACAACTTCGCAATCTCAATACATCCTAGCGACTGAAGGTTGTTGGCGGTTAAATCAAAATACAAAATTCCTTCAACAGATTTAAGTGCATGCACTAATGCTAAACAGTCGAGTGGTGACAGGTTACACACTCTAAAATCAAGCGCATTACAACCAATTTTCGCCAGTTTCTTTTGAACTTCTCGATCAGAGGCTTTGTTCTCATACATGCAATTGAATAGCGTCACCACTAATAACCTGCGTTCAGGAGCTGGCCAAAAGGTCAGTGTTTCAGTTCGTTCCTCTGAATCTTCATTCATCTCGATTTCAACTTCTTCAGTACAAGTTTTTGAGGGAAGAAGGTCGCTGAAAATATCTGTTGATTGTCCTTCTTTTTCAGCCAGCAGTCCAGCCACAAACTGCATCACAACCTGCCACGCGCCATCTTGGATGTGATCGGAAACAAACTTCTGCAGGTCTTCGGCACTGTACGTGTCCACCAAATACTTCGCCGCTAAGAACTCCTGTATCGTCAGGTGTAAAAAACAATATTGCGGTCTTGGCTCAGCTAAAGGACGGTCTCTAGTATCAGGTAAACGGTGAAACAAGCCATTACTCTCTAGGTCGTTAACTTCATGTGATTCGAAAATTAGTTTTCCCTCTTTAATTCCATCAAAGGCAATTTTTCCCAGACGTGCAAACACATTTTGCACATGAGAAGAAAGTTCCTTAAACGGCTTTAGAATAAACTGTTGACCTTTGGCTTTATCGTGGCGATATTGATTATCATCGTAACAAAAGTAAAACATTTTTATTGCAATTGAGTATATTTCTGTCAGTCTTGTCGGGAGGCTGGTTAAGCCAGTAGTGTTGCCAAGCAACTGTAACAAGCACGAACAAATGATCCAACAATTCACAGGAATATAGCAAAAGGACAAGAGGTTACGGTTACTGTTAATGTGCTGCTTTATGGTGTTTGCTTTCTGGTCATCGCCATTCGTGAACTTCTGCACATACTCATCCACTTGCTCAGTTGTAAATCCCAGAATCTCAACGGTTTTGTGAAAGTAGAGTCTACTGATACGTGACACGGCGTTCGGTCTTGTGGTCGTTAGAACTGTAGCACCACGAAGAATGTATCCTGATGCTATTTTCTCGAAGAGGAAATGAATAGGCATGCTTTGCTGTTCATTGTCTCTGTACGGATGGCTTTCGTTATCGATTTTAGTCTTACCAGAGTATTCGTCAAATCCATCAAAAATTATAAGTACTTTGTTTGGGTTTTGAAGAATGTACTTCCAGACCTCTTCGGTTAGATCTTCTGCGGAATACTCTGACTGATTCAGAAGCTCGCGAAGACTGAGTGTTTCGTCTTGCTTGGCCGAGTTAAACCTCCTTAGCTTGATGAGGAAAGCGACTTTGAAATCCACTAGTGATTTTTTTGCTTCTATAAACAAGTTATCGGATGCCCAGTTGCGGAGAATCTTCGTGCTAAACATAGTTTTTCCAATTCCAGGACGACCAACAACAAGTATCTTCTGTTTTTTAGCATCAAAAATATCTCCTGGTTGTGTTGGTCGCGAGTTTTTCGTGGGTTTGGGGTAGTCTTCTAGTCGTTTCTTTCTATCTCCAGCTATGAAGAGATGCATATTAACTCTTCCCTTGTGAATAACCAAATTGGTGTAGATTTGGTCAAGTGTTTGATCTCTTTGAGAGCCTTCACCTGGATTAGGATCAAAAGGATCTTTATCATCAGATTGTTCCGTTTTTCTTTTGACGTATTCCTTCATATTTTCGATGAAGGTTGAGATGGATGTTTGTTCGTCTGTTGGAGTGGGGTTGATTGACGAGTCATGTGAAGGGTTGCTGGATGCCGTGGCTGACGCGTTTGATGGTGGCAGTTCGGTTCGATTGTCAATATGCGACGGTTCTGGCGGGGATTCATTGCAGGGTTGAACGGTGGATGAAGGATTGGTGTGATCGTCGTCGTTGTTAGATAACGGACCCAGTTCGATTCCTGTAGAAGGCGTAGAATCTGAATTTGACGTATTCGAACTCAGATAATAATTTTGAAATTCCTGGTCCTCCGTAAAGGGTTTAAAGCCGCTTGTTTTTCTTGCACGCCATAACATGTACAGAGCCTCGATAAACACAAGAAATGTAAAAGTTCCAGTTACAACGATCACGGCATTAGCCCAGAAGGTCTTCTTAGCTGCTCGTTGATTATGACATTCGTATGACGTTTGTGTTAGAGTTTCGTTGTGCGACGCACTGACTGGAATCACGGCAATGTCTGATAATTTACCGTCTCTTGTTAAGTTACAGTTAAAGTTCGATGGAAAGCTAAGAGGATAAAGTAATTTGGTCTGTAGAAGGACAAAAGAAATCCCAAGGACAAATCTGGCAAGAAGTTGCAAACAGTACGCCTTGAAAAGCTTTCTTCCAGAATTGTTACTCTGTTGAGTCCGCCCTTTTGCTTGATTCTTCTCGTGTTCAATGAGTTCATCGACTCTCGACTTCACCACCTGCGAGTAAATTCCACAAACACTCGCAGTAACAAGGAAATTAATTATCACGAACCCATACAAAGGAATACCAAATTTTATGTACTGTTTTTCATACTGTTCGTAACACTTTCCACGAATGAGGTCCTCGTCGCCATTTGAGCCACAGCGAAAGTCAAATCTCGGTTCGTTGTTTTCAATGTCTGCAAAGATTGCTAATAGGATAATTCCGAGCACAATCCAACAGATATTTGCCACATAACTGAACCAGTGAAGTGTTTTAGGAGCAAGCAAACCTTTAAGATGTTCCATGTTGTATGCCTCACGATTTCTCGCTTATGAGCTACAAATGCTTGCACATAGCTTTTGTATTCTATTAGAAATAATGGAACAAGGAAAATGATTCAGATGTAGTCAACCATGGCTGTTTGGTATATTTGAATCACAAAAACAATGTCTGTTGAACATTCGCGTCAGGTCAAAGTTTTCGTATCTCGAATATTCGGTATTGTTAGAAATGTGCATAAACTGGTCAGAGCCTTTCTGTTTGTGAGCAATCATTCAACTTGAGGTACAGAATTTTCTGCTGCACAGGTTCTCCTGACAGCCACACCTGTGTTGCGAACTATACGAACCATTCTCGAAATATTTGTGGCAAATTTAAAAATCGCCGTGGGCGTCAATCCTTTAGTTTCCAACGGAGAGCCGAGATTAAACGTTCCATCCTTGCTCGAACCAGGTTAAAACATGCATTTTTCTCCCAAAATTCGACACATTCCCCTACCGTGTGAAAATTGCGATATCAAAAACGGGCGAAAGCAAGTGAAGAAATTTGGTCAACCTTGGCTGACTCTGACAGTGCAATTTTCGTATGTTTTTGAACTGTTGCTATTTTTGCGGGCGTGTCAGGCCAGAGAACTTCCTATCTCTTTGTCTCTTTCTTTTTTCATTGTTCCCCGATGAAGATTAGGCCAGGACAGGCTGAGAAAAATGAAAAAAAGCGAGTTCACTTTATAGCGTAAGACAATCGACAATAGCTGAAAAGATGAAAAGATGCGTGCCGTAGCTGTGAAAGGGAATGTGGCCGAGAAGCCTCGGGGGATGAGGTTGAAGTTTGTACTTTCCCAGTTACGCACGCGTACACATGAAAATAAAAACATGTTCGTTTTCTTCAAGAGCTGAGCAAGAGTCAGTCGAGTCCAACCCCGTAAAACTCGGTGGAGTCAGTTTTAATCTTGAACCGAGATCTCACTCTAGCCGTGGGAGCTCTGGGTACGAGATAAAGGGAAGACTGAAACGGGCCATTTAAAGTGCATGTAAAAAAATACTGAAAAATATTACTTCGTTTAATATTTTCTCTTCTCAAAAACATGTTTATAAAAATACAATATCTGATGTCTTTTCTTTGTGTAATAGTGATAACTGGTTGGAAAGAAGTAATTACATTTTCCTCATGTATTTCCCTACTTTTGAGACTTTGTCGCCATTTGAGCCACAACGAAAGTCAAATCTAGGTTCGCTGTTTTCAATGTCTAGAAAGATCGCTGATAGGATAATTCCGAGCAAAATCCAACAGAAATTTGCCACATAACTGAACCAGTGGAGTGTTTTACGAGAGACCAAATCTATTATTTCTTGCATGTCGACTGTCTCTCGATTCCTTGCTTAACGATCAACAAATGCTTGCATTTAACTTTTGTATTCTCGAGCAAAATGATTTAGATGTAGTCAACTGTGGCTCCTTGGTATATTTGAATCACAAAAACACTGTTTGTTGAACATTCGCGTCAGGTCAAAGTTTTCGCATCTCGAATATTCGGTATTATTATTAGAAATGTGCAGCTATACGTATCATTTTTCAAATTTTTGTGGAAAATTTAAACATCGCCGTAGGCGAGAATCCTTTCGTTTCCAACGGAGAGCCGAGATTAAACCACGTTCCATCCTTTCAGTGAAGAAATTTGGTCAACCTTGACTACTTCTGACAGTACAATATTTGGTATGTATATTACCTGTTGCTATTTTCGCGTGGTCTTGCGTGCGTGTCAGGCCAAAGAACTTCCTGCCTCTCTCACTCTTTTTTTTTTTTTCAATGTTCCCCGATGAAGATTAGGCCAGGACAGGCTGAGAAAAATGAAAAAGCGAGTTCGCTTTATAGGTTAAGACAATCGAAAACAGTCGAAAAGATGAAAAGATGCGTGCCTTAGCTCTGAGACGGAATGTGGCCGAGAAGCCTCGGGGGATGAGGTTGAAGTTTGCACTTTCCCAGTTACGCACGTGTACACATGAAAGTAAAAACAGGTTCGTTTTCTTCAAGAGCTTAAAATTTTGCTGTGGGCAAGAGTCAGTCAAGTCCAACTCCGTAAAACTCAATGGAGTCAGTTTTAATCTTGTACCCAGATTCCACTCAGGCCGTGGAAGATCTGGGTACGAGTTAAGGGGAAGATTAAAACGAGCCCTTTAAGGTGCATGTAAAAAATACTCAAAAATATTAATTCATTTAATATTAATTTTCTCTTCTCAAAAATATGTGTATAAAAATACAATATGATGTCTTTTCTTTGTGTAATAGTGATAACTGGTTGCAAAGAATTAATCACATTTTTATCCGAGTGTATTTCTCTACTTTTTAGACCAGGCACTATAATTTTCACGGCTAAAATTACTTTTTCTCTCTCTCCCCAAGTTTTGGGGAGTGAGAAAACAGTCGATATTTCCCGACGCTACCAATGGTTTCCTGCGAAATGACTTCTGAGGATCGACTACAGAAATCAGTTCCATACTGATGACGTGTCACTGTCCAGATCTGGATAGTGACACGTCATCAGTATGGAATTTCTGAGCTCCTTCTTCAGCCTTCATTTCCCGAGGAAACCAATGGTAGCGTCTGGAAATGTCGGCCGTTGTGTCAGGCTACCAGTTTTTGAGGTTGGCTTCAATCAGAACCAAAACCCTTTTTAGTATCAATGTAAAGTTATCTCTAAAATTCTGGATTATAAGTTTCTGGGTAACTGCGCACCTACCCCTCCCCTATGCCAACATTTTAACCTAAACGAGAAGTAAGTGTTAATGTTGGCTTAGGGGAGAGGCAGGTGGGCAGTTTCCCAGAAACGTATAACGACCCAAAATGAAATTGTCATCCCAGAGGTGCCATCCTCAAGGATGCTCTTCAGCTCGTAAAGTAGCCTCCTATGCCGACGTGATGAAGTGGAAACCTTCAACGAGGGAGGCTACTCCTTAAGGTGCTTCTACGGTTCTTACGATCCTTCTTGATAAGGGAGACCTGGTCACGACAGCAACTCCTTTTTTGCAAGTACCGATCATGCAATTTCAAAACCAAGGCATAAAATATATATATCTGTATTCTGTTATAGTATTTCTACTTTGACAATCTTACGGCTAAATTGTTTCTCCCAATAGGAGATTACTTGTGGCAAATATTGCGCCATATATGTTTACATATAAAATTATATCAAATTGCTGTAATTTGAATTACAATATTAACTTATACTTAATACATTTTACATCATTTTCCTGTTTAAGGTCACGAAGTGTCATTAAACGACTCTCTGGTCTGATATCAACGCCATTACCACCTTCCTTAACAGAACACAAGATACACGTCATGGTTGAATGCCATTTGCCTCACATGGCCGCATGGCTGTATGAAGAAGGGTCAGTATCTCATGTAAGACTATGTATAATTTTGCGAGCTTTAAATAGCTGTAGTAGCTCGGAATATTAAGCGTAGTCTTACATGACAGAGTGATCCCTACTTCATACAGCCATGTGGTCATCTGGGTAAGTGGCTATATGGCATTCAACCATGAAGCATATATCCACATTTGGTACGTATAATTTGTGGATGCTGCATGGGAATAGACCTTTTTACCGATACGGCGGCCATATTGAATTAATTCGATTTAAGGAATATTATAGGATGCCCAGGGGACATGAGCACATTTCGTTTGTATTTTCGAGCGCTTTTCGGGACATTTTTTCTTAAAGTTTTCTTAAAATAAGATTGTAACGGGAAAAAAGATCCGACTGCCGTGTTTTGATGTAATAATGATCGTCTTTTTCGCGAAAAATATACAGTGAAAGACGATATTTCTAATACTAAACTAGAAAAAGGCGATCATTATATACATCCAAACATGGCACAAGGATCTTCTTTCCCATTACAATCTTATTCAAAGAAAACTTTAAGAAAAAATGTTCCGAAGAGCGCTCAAAAATACAAATGAAATGTGCTCATGCCCCCTAGGCATCCTATAATACTCCTTAAATCGAATTAATTCGATATGGCCGCCGTATCGGTAAAAAGGTCTATTGAAAAAAAAAAAGGTTCCCAAAAGATCTTGATAATTCTCCGAATCTCTTATTTCTAAACGATGAGCTGTGAAGTCGCTCTCTGAACATTGCAAACCGAATGATCTCGCAAGTCCCATAACATCTCGAAACCATAACAAAGATTTTCGATTTGCTTTCAAAAACACCATGTTTAGACAATGCCCACAAGACGGACCGCCGATGGCTTAATTCTAAACGCAATATAAACTGATAAACGAAGGGATACTGACGTACCCGCGAATTCGCAAACGAAAGGCTCTCGAACAAGGTATCAGGTCGAGGTCGCCGATTCGCTCGATATTTATTTGTCGTTTTTAAGCCTGAAGACAGAACACCGTATTTATTCAATTAAACGCCGCGGCGTTAATTAAATTTTCAGCGTTTCCGATGAGGCGTTTTTTAAAGGGTGACGTTTGTTGCAAAATCACTTTTCTTAAATCACTGATAACAGTTACTGCGAATCGTTTTTAAATATTATGTACTTTAAAGGTTCCAATATCTTTCTTATTTTACAGAGACAGAATCGTAATTGTCTGGATGGTGTAGATTACCAAGTTGTACCGAGTTTTTTCTCATTATCCTCAAATAGACGCCGCATTCTTTTGATTAGGTGCGGCGTGTATTCCAGGGCGGCGTTTATTGGTAATCTTGCTTCCATCTGCGGCGTTTAATCGAATAAATACGGTAAGCATGGAAAGACAGTGACTGCACACGTACATATCGAACTGTCTTAACTAAAATACCATCTCTGATAATCATGTTCACCCTGTTACAGAGTTTTGTATCAGGCTGTTGCATGTCACTGTGCGAATCGACTTTTAAAAGTCCACACGAAACACCGTCGGACAAATAGACGTTTGGGCGAAATGACCGCAATTCCTCCAACAAAGTGCTTCTCAGGAGAAATTTGAGCACTGCAGTGTGATCTACACACCGCTTTGTTCGACATTTCAACGCAA